CTTCACAACAGCATGTATCTCCTTTAAAACAACAGAATGTTGTAATCAAAAAGAGCATCTCTCATGCTATTATGAAGCATAAGATCCTACAGTTGACACATAAAACTATGTACAGGCACATTGCACAAATTTTCCCTCATCAATATTAGTCATAGTTTGCTCTATACTTACGGCAATCTCCACACTGTAAATGAAATTGTATACTGTCATTCAGTCTGGAAAAGAGAAGGCTCGGGGGAGACCTTATAGTGGCCCTCCGGTACCATAAGGGGGCCTACAAGAAACCTGGGGAGGGACTTTTTACGAGGGCCTTTAGTGACAGGACAAGGGGTAATGGGTGGAAGCTGGAAAAGCATTGGTTTAGACTAGATATAAGGAAGAAGTTCTTTATCCTGAGAGTGCTGAGGCACTGGAACAGGTTGCCCAGGGAAGCTGTGGATGCTCCATCTCTGGAAGCGTTCAAGGCCGGGTTGGACGGAGCCTTGAGCAACCTGATCTAGTGGGAGGTGTCCCTGCCATGGCAGCGGGGTTAGAACTAGATGAACTTGGAAGTTCCTTCCAACTCAAATCATTCTATGAATGTCATTTAACTAGAAATGTTATGTTTGCTGCTATTGTTTCCGTCTCAAATGCTTTCATTTCCAATCAGCAGATGCTCTTCAAAACCAGAATTGCCTTACATGCTCACCAGTCCCTAGGGACATGAAATTATTTGGCTTAAAAGACCTCTCCTTTAGGCATAACTTACTACTACAGTGGATGAGGAACAATGATGAAATCTGCCAACGCATTTTTGCAAGTTTGAAAAGTTCCTTGCTTACAGGATGAATAATTCTGATGAGAATAGAAGTTTAGGCAAAGTCAAAACAGTGACACCTTCTCAGAAACATGCTGTAACTCCCGTATTTACTGTCTTCATCAGTTCCTGCAGTATTTTAAAACCAGCAGGTACTAAAAATGAAGTGCCCTTGCTTTAATTGGTGTAGAGAAATGACAGGAATGCAGATGGCAGGACACCCACTTAGGCATTCACCCAGGTATTCCTCCCCTGAAAGCTTCTCCTATTGAAGCATTGGACCTGAAGACATTTTTACATTCTAGAAAATTTTTCAGGGGGGGAAACCTGTGGTGGCATCTTCATGACATGACAAAAATCACACTCACATGCAAGGATAAATAAATTCTAAACACTCCAGAATGGAAACATAATAAAGACATGTTAAAATTTCCTCAGTATTGCAATACGGACACATAAATTCTCATAAATGACAAATAAATTCTCATATATATATTATACATATAAAATACATGAAGAAATACTAATCTAATACATTTAAAATATATAGAATACATTTATAACACTAATCTTATAAATTCAGAAACACACATTTCATTATCTCCTAAAGATACTTTTCACTCAGCAGGTATGTTATGGAGTTTTTACTGTCCCATAAACTTAGAGATGCAGTCTCTGCTTACAAGGTGTTCTACCTAAGACGTAATTATTTGAATTTACAAAATCAATACATTTGTTTTCCTCATCAATTATTTTGAGCTGTAAAAGAGGTTAATCTACCACCTTTTCTAGAATAAATGGAAATGCTGCCAAGGAGACTTGTTTGTTTGTCATAGAAATTATTGCTTTCTGCCTGATAAAGATCCTCCCTTTGTCATTTAAGCAAGCTGTTTACTTTGTAAGGACTATCAGAAAACACAAATATTCCAACTCCTATGAACAGAATTCAACAACCTATCAAGTTAAATAATATAATAAAAATTGAGCTATTCTTGCTTATTTAATGAAATTAAACCCCTTAATATTTCATGCTTAAATAGGGAAGGAATAGTTGTGAGGCAAGAAAACTCCCAACTGTTGTGCATGGAAGAAGATTCTGTCCTCTCTAGAAGTTACATTCCAATAATCTCATTTGCTTTTTCTTTTAGATCCTCCTCTCCTTTCTCTACTCAAATCTGCTTGGAAAACCTTTCGGCGGTTAAGACTCCCTCCCCACATTCACTACAAGAACACTCAGTCTCCTTATTTGCAAGCTGCTCATCAAAATACATTTATAAATATGAGAGAATACTTCCCCATACTCAGTACAGATGTGTCCACTATACTCACTGCTAGTGTGTCTTAGCATCTTCCAGTAGTGCCTCACTTCACGTGAATAACACCTATTGTAATACAACTTAAGAAGTTCAATCACTTAAGGTGTGAGTGTTGGGTTGACTTCAGTCACAACCTAAAAAAGCCACTACCTGGACAACATAAGATAGCTTCAAGAAACACGGTGACTTTTTCCAAACACTTTAAATAGCTCTAACTTAGAACAATACAATCCTCCCTCCATACTTATGTTCTGGCACAACTGAGATTAATGAGTAATCCATCCTTGGTAGTTTCTCAGGATTTTAAGCATTTCAATATCATCTGAGTAAGAGCAAGCCACTAACTCAGAACAAGGTAGGGGGAAACACACATTCCAATGATCTTGCCAAACACAGTACCTAAAAATAAAATTATTTCTTATTTCCCAACGTTCTATTCTTCTTTGTTCACTGAACTCAGTTTGCACTACGGAGCACGAAATACCAGCTTCTTTTTCTTCATCTTCAACATTAGCAAAATGTCAGTGGGTTTGGATTTCTTATATTGAAGGAGAAAGATTATGGTTTAGGGTCTTGTCGTTCTTGTTTTTATAGTTTTGGTGAAGTTCTCTGAACATCACGAAAATATGACACAACACTGATAAGCTTTAGAAACCTTCTTACTTTCTAATACCAAAGTCTAAATACTGGATCTATCCTAATAAGTCATACTCCTCCTGGTAATTCAGGACAGAGGAGCCCATGAATCTCAGAAGACTCTCATAAATTTTGATCACAACAGAGTGATAACCTTGACTGATGCAGGTAGAGGCAGTCTCTGTATTTGCTTAAAGTGGGTTTGATGCTAATTGAGGAGGAATAAATCCTCACAGCTTTACACAGTGCGAAGTCATGTCTAGATGATTATGCAACCACTTCCGTTTACTAGATTTTCAACTACTCCAGACTCCCTTCACAGAGCTGAAAATAAGGATATGAAACAGTAATCACAATGAGCAAGCAGTATGTGAAACTGATCACCAAACAGATGAAGAACCAGCTACACAGACTGTACTATGAGATCTAGGCCAAATTCCCACCTAGTAACTGTCTTTTACTCCACTGAAGAACAAAATTGACACAAATTGCTGAAGTACTTTCCATGAGTGAACTCGGCTAAAATGAGTTTTGTTACAATGAACACTGCACTGAAGGTAAACTTTAGTATTTATTATTGTCACTCCCCCAAAACAAAGAGCTTTTAATGATTTTGAGTACCAATGACTTCATACTTTCCACTTCTTAAGACAGGTAATGTTGGAAAAAGATTTTTCTTTGATCTCAAAAGCAAAAGGACATTACATTTATATTTATTATGAAAATACAATGCAGGTAACAAAACAGAAACATGCTGCATTACATAAGTTTTTTGGCATCAGACAAACCCTACTGAAGTCAACTTAAGGTGAAGGTTATGTGTATTTGTAGAAATAAGAAAAATTCTATTTCAGATGCCCAAATATGCACTTGATAACTTTACTTTAGACATGTCTTCCCCCTGCTATGATACACTTCAAAGTAAGTAACAGCACGGCTCTCAAATGAAACATTTCTGTAATTCTCCAAGCAAAAAAAATTCAGAAAGACAGTAATACTGTACCTTAATTTCTTCTATTTCATCTGGCACTATCTTGTATGCAGATATAGTCCCACCCAACCTGCAATCAGGAGAAGAAAAATATTGTCTGAAATCAGAAGGAAAATGTTCTCAAAATCAGTAACACAAAGCACAGCATGTTAATGGTGTCATGACTTGTTCCAAAACACCAATATGCCTCCTACCAATTTAGAGGTAAACCCCATAAAGTCTCAAAACAACAGCAAAAAACTCACCCCGTCAGAGAAAAACCTTCATGTGATTAACATACACATTCAAACAAGGTGGCCTTCACTAGCCTGAAAGAATTAGGTCAACCAAGCAGAATTTCCATCACTGACGTGTTATTCTTTACATTAATGGCCATCAGTCACCATATTCTATGATCCCACTTGTCCTCTAAATTTTATGGATGAGTTTAAACCCTGGAAGCCATCCATATGTGCTTTGTGCTCAGTATGTCACTAAGCTCCTATACAGTCTTCAGTGCATCCAAATGCAGTTTTAGAAAGGAAAAGGTTTTTAATCAGACGTGCATGGATGGACCTCTTAAATCACACAGACTCTACAGCTTCGATGTTTGAAAAGCCTCTGGATTTCATGAGTGGCAATAAAAAGTGGGAGATGGAAAAGAGTTGGCATTAATGTAGAAAAACAGGGGGGTTTTGTTCCACATTCAACCTACCGAACTTACTCGTCTACATCCAGCAAAAGTGTATGGTAAAGAATAGTTCACAGGCTGAACATACATGAACAGCATCTACTATAAATGGTGGTAAATACTACATTTTCCCTAAAGACACACAGACATAGCTTCTTTTATTTCATGAAGCAGTATCATTGATAGTGACAATTCAGACCTAAAAATATAACTGCACTAATGACCTCCCTGCTGGCTCTGCACAGCAAGGCTAGTCACTTTCTGCATCCTACAGAAATGGAAATCATGTAAGAAACTATTTATTGTAAAGCAACAGACAGCTATCAAACATGTATTTGTATTATCTCCCTATTATAGGATTTTTTCCTTCCAATTGTCAGCATTTCTACACAGGCATATTTCCTTATACTCAGTCTTGAAATTATTACACATATTTACTCAACCTAAAAAAAAGAGGAAAAGAAAGCAACACAGAAAATGTATTGAAATTTTCCCTGCAAGTCCTGTCTTTCCATATCTCTTCAATTAAGACAGTCTTGTAAATTAATGGCTTGAAAGTTTTAGACAGAAGACAGAGTCTGCATAGGAAAAGTCAAGTCTGAAGTCCATCACTGCTCCAAGTAATATCTACTATATTTTCTGAGGCAGAGGCATTACAATATGCAAATTCATCATGAATAATTAGAGCATAGCAATTGCTTTCTCCAGTTTCCTCTGCAACTTCCACTGAAGCTAATAATCAATAGAGTTAAAAGTTGAAGACAACTAAATGGGTTTGTTGCCAGTGGAGGTACAAACATGAGCTTTTATTCTTCAGTGGGCCTGACCTTTGCTCAAATAGTGTTTCCAGAGACAGCTACAAGAAATTGGTTTTAACATCATGGCAAAGGATTCCTTCATTGGACTGTGACAAGGAATGGCTCAGGTCAGTGCCTGTTATCATTGCACACGTTATGGGAACGAGGGCTGCGAGAAAACATTTTTTACTTCATTCTTTCAGATCTATTCCTGTCTGCACTCTGGAGTAGCCCTGAAAAATAACTTCACTGACTTTCCTCTAGTAGAAGTGGAGGACAGAGCCTCTATTGCCAGCACTCCGTCAGCAGAGAATTCCACCTGGCACATCTCTCTGTTGGCCACCCTCGGCATAACTATTAAGCATTTTATTGGAATACATCAGAAAAAAAAATAAAAATCAAAATAATTGACTCAGTAAACTCATCCAGCTTGCCTAAACCCTTAAATAGCATCATCTTCTCCCAATACGCTACAAAGTTTTGTGTCAGGAGTTTAACATACTCTGGATCTGCCAAGCTGAAGTCCAAATGGCAGCACATTATAAAGTAAAATGTCAGTTACCACAATTCCACATTTTTAAAAGAGGAAGATATATTAAGAGTTATGTTATTGTTTAAATAAACAATATCTCACCTATAGCTCCAGCTCAACGCATCTATCCTAATACATTTTCAATTTCACACTGACATCTTTAGCTTGAAAATCCAGACTACATACATAAGTAATGGCAAAACTGAAACTGAAAGAGAACCAGAAACACATAAATATACAATTCTATAAATGCCTGAGAGTTGAAATGAAGTTTTTAAGGAAGTCCATGCTTCCTTCATTTCGGAACATTAGACATCACTCCATCTTATAACTCCTGAAAGAGAGATCCACCACAGCAGATGGCTTTTTAAATCTGGTACTATCAAGGACATAATAAAGGCATTTGACTTTCTGTATAAAGTTTTTGAGTTTCACAGAAGTTTAAAGGCATCACACAAACTGGGAGGATCCAGTTAACACAGCCTCAACTCTTCTGCTGGTCATAAATACGATTTATGTGAGGAACAGGATTTTTGTTTTTACTACATATTACATAGCGGTCTATTTGACAGCCTGCAAATAGTGATCAACAGCATATACATAAAATTTAAAAAAAGTCTACTTTTTTTTCTGGCAAAATGTCTTAATTAGTTTCCAAGTCACACAGAAAATATTACACCACACAATTCACTTGCCAAACCAACTTAAGAGGCAGAATCAGTTGCGAAACATGATGTGTACACTTTGCTCAAAAATCGTAAATCCCACTCCATTCCAACCTCATGGTAAACAACCTGAAAAGAAATTTGATAGCACTTAGTCTGCTGTTACCAAACTGCTATTAAAAATCTCTCACAGTCAGATAAGGCCTCAGTGTAAGGGACTACACAATGTCACACACACATACAATATGAATTACAAAAGCGTTGTGATGAAAGAAAGAACAGCAAAATCAAGGCAAACTGAAAATAAATGCATTAATTGGTGCGTCCAACTTAAGGAAAACTTTTTATTTAGAGTATTTCTCCAAACTACACTTAAGTGTCACCACCAATTGCGACCAATTTAGAAATCTGCTTGTTGTTTTGCAAATCCCTGATTGTAGCACTGACATCTGAGAGAACAGGGACCGGACAACTACACACAAGAGAGTTCAGCTACAGGCTGATACCTGGTCTGTGATAGAGGACTCGCACGTGACACTCATGTTGTCATTATCCTGGGAGCAACCTCTCGCCACATGTTGGTTTTTTAGAACTTTTTACCCTAATTTTTTTGGTCACAGGGTTTCAAGAAGCCATTGCACTGAGGTCAGAAAACGAAAGGACCAGCTAGCGTGAGTACACTTGAACACCTCTGGGCTTTGTACACTACAGCATAATGAGCAAAAAACATGCTACAAGGGCCAGAATTCAGTTCACCAGTGACCTGATTTTTGTGCAGATTCACTCTTCATCTGTCACACTTTTTAGATTTATTATTTCTTTCCAGTTGAACAACACAACATCCAGCCTCCTGCAATATAAATGGCATATTCTCTCAGAACAAATACACAACTAACCAAGAGCAAAACTAAATATATGACCACTTCTAGCAAGCTGAAAAGACAATCACAAACTTCATCCACAGAGACCTAATGTGCAGTCCTTCTACCCCTAACTGCAGTATTTTCATACTATAGCAAGCAACACTATTTAACAGTGTATTTATTTTAAATACTAATTACCTTTAATTTTTCACAAGTGTATATGTAAGCAGGTAATTTCTGAAAGGCCCCACAATTTATACTGAAATTTTGACAAACAGTCTCACCAGGTGTGTATCATACCCTCCAGAGAATAAGACAGTAGAGGGTCTTTACAAATGAGTGACAAAACCAGAAGGAGAGTGTGGGTTTTTTTCATATTAGTGATGGAACAAAGAGGAGAATGTCCTTCGTAAGTGAGGGAGTCACAGGATGCAGTCTGTAAGAAGATAATGAGATACCTTGACCATTAGGGCTATTAATTAAGTCACCAGGGAGGATGCTCTAAACTTTTGAACTTTGAGAAAGAGTGCACAGGTTTAATAAGCCTGTGGATATTAACTCCACCGCCCCGGGTGGCATAAAATTGGAGTTAACGAAACGTGTAATGTATGTTGTTAAGTGGGGTTCATGTTAAGGGAGAACATGGAATAGGCAGATCGGGAAGTCTGTACCTCCTGAGCACCTCAGTCAATGGGGAAAGGGACAGGGTTTCATGCAGCCAGGAAATTAGGATGAAAGGCAGCTGTGTCTTCCAGCAAGTTGAGAGACCTCACAGGGACTTGGCAACTCCAGTGAACTCTCCCTTTATTCGAAAAAAGTTAAGACTCCTCTGTCTTCTTTTTGAACACTGAATTCTGGCAATGTGACTTTCTGTACACCTTGCATGTAATACAGACACCCCAGTTGTCAAATTTCTTTGCAGAAGAGAAATTAAATTATTCCTAGATGTAGAAATGACACCTGGCAATAAAAACAAAGAACCACTCCTTACATTGAGCTAAACTGGTGAAGATCTTTGAAGAGAGGAAAGATAGGACAGAAATTGCATAAAAATTATTAGGAAATAATAAACCTCACACTCCTAATTTGCACAGGTGTTTGCGAAAGAACAGAAACTTTGTGTCTTTTTTAGGGAAACTACTTTGGGGGGGGAGGGGAAGTGCATCTCAGGTTGACATATAATGATAGACTGGGTTCGTAGAAAGTTCACAGAAAAGATTTAGGAGAATGTGGAAAGCAGGGTTTCTATGGCAACCTGTGGAATTAGCCAAATGCAGGAAATAAATTGAAGTGAGGCCAATACAGTTGTATTGGAACAGATGGAAGTTTTACTATTTCACCAATTAAAGCAGAATATCACTGAGAGGGAAAACTTGAACTTCATCCAAGTTAAGGAAAGTTCAAAAAACAGGAAGAACTGTGCTCAAATGGACTCAAGAAACAATGAACCACAGCCCAAATGGGAAGGGGACTCAAAAAGACAAAACTTAAAGAGAAATTGATTACAATGCTGCTATAATAAACTATCCATTATTTTAATGTT